CATGCCTTCTAAAAGCAAGTTACTGCTAATAAAATCACTCAGCTCAAGAAGACTGATAATTCTGAATAAGACCCATTTTACACAAGATCACTAGCTTATTAGTTGCATAAAAAACCAGGCCCTACATATCTACCAAAATTATTTTCGTAACTATTCATTTGTCCTGTCCCTGATTAAACCTTTAGTGTATACTTCAGCTATTTACTATAGAATAGAAAAAATAAAAAGAAAATCTGGGTCAATTAGAATAAAGCAGGTAATCTAGTGTGGAGTGGATTTTGTGCTTTTTTTGGGGTAACACTAATTTTACAAAAGGTTTTCTATCTGCAACAATAAACTTGTCAACTGTGACAACAAAAAACCTGAATATGGGAATTTTGAAAGGTCAACATGCAGTCACCCAAACCACATGTGCATCTAGTACACAAGAACATACAAGCTCTTGTAGGCACACCTTTTTGGAGATAATACTCCTCCTCTATCATAAAGCCAACACCTGTATACTAAAGCACAGAGAATCTGACCAGACATCCCTGAACTAGAATGAAGATGTGAAAATTACAAAGATTCTTTTCAATCAATTACAGAAGTAACGTCTACTGAAATGGAGTACAAATTTTTTATTGAAAAGTATTACTTCATTCATCTCCAACTCATTAATCTTTAGAGACTGTGTTCTTTTAAGTAATGCAAAGTAAGACCCTCAATCTGTTTAGTTGGATTATTATTCTGGTTTATTTTCCCCTCAATACTCCAAATAAACACTTTAAAGATGCCTAATTACTGAATACACATTTTATCATTTACACGAGTCAACATCAAATATCACAGATACACCAGAAGACATCAAATTTCACACTTATATTCAAACAAAAATTTTTCAAACTTCCAGAAACTAATCACTACCATTTCAGAACTTAAAAGCTTGAGTATTATAATGAGGCACCTCCAACAAAATTAACTAGAAGAGAGGCTTCCCCACAGTTTCTACAGATGAGTGTCAGCAAAACTGCAAAGGAAAAGCAAAGTCAATTGATCTCAGCAGTTGTTACCTGTTTCTCTTGTTATTTATTCTTCCATCCACCTTGTGCCAAATTCATCTGCAACCACTTCACGCCTGGCTTTGCGTTAGTGGTGTAGCAGAGCAAAGTTTTCAAAAATATATATGCTCCATAAATTCACAAGATTATTTGTTTGCTTTACAAGAGGAAGCTATTATCTGTAAATGCATATAATCATTAAGTAATTATAGATATGGTGCAATCATCAGAAAGTTCTGCAAAACAGCAGAACAAATAATCAAAGCAGATGTTTTCATTACTAATTTGGCTGTAAGAAGTGGATTTAAAAAAAACTCTTGTGACCCATAAAAATATCATTCAACTCCAAACTGAGTCTTTCATTTCCATGAAAAGAACTCGGGACAAGATACTAATTGCAAATGTTTTTTAGAAGGCAATTCACCCTGAACAAATGTCAGCAGAAGAAACAAGAATACTACAGCTATTATTATGACATCCAGCTGCCATTTAAAACATGCCATGTTCTTTTCAGCCCTTACAGCCAAAGGATAAATATGTTAAGAACTGATCATGAATGTAAAACACCATTTTGGCGGTAACTACACAGCTTTAGGATTTTTTCTCATATCCTGAGCTCATTTTTTGCTCATATCCTGAGCATCATTTCCATTTCCTCCTAAACACCTTCCAAATACAAATTCATCAGAAGCATGCACATTACTTGGAATATTCAGGCATTTTGATGATTTAAGTCAATTGAATAATTCAAATCCCATCAAACCTGGTGTGTTAATTCAGAGCCAGTTTTGCACAAAGAGTAACCATGACTGGTTTACCTCATGGTCTGGAGTTCAGAGGTGCATTTAATTACCTGCAACTAGAAACTCAGTCACCCTTCAAATGCATCCACCAACCAGCAGCACGTGCCTGCAGTTCAATACAGTTTTGTTACCCATGACCTTGACTGCTTCCTGCCCTACTATCTCCACCCAGGAAAGAACAATCACAGTATCCCTCAACCCAGACTCTTTTCTCCCAGTTTTGTCTCTTTTGTTATTCCCAATTTCGGGAATCTGCTAATAACTAGGATTTGCCTGAAGGTGTGTACAACAGCTCAATGGAGATTTGATACTTCATTCTCCTCCCTAGTCTTGTTTGTTTTATGTGCCTTTTAAAGCCTTCAGGGCAGAATTGCTAATTTGCCTGACTCACCGTGATGCTTTTCCACCACCTCGGCCAAAATCTGTTGGCAGGTTTTTTTCTCTCAAGTGCTTCACTTAATTTTAAGTGGAATTAGAATCTGCAACTTTGACCACTTGGAAAAAACTTACCAAGAAAGAGAGAAAGCAGAGACTAGAGAAAACTGAAGCTATGTCAGAGAAAAAACACATATATCAAAATCCATTATTCTGTCCCAAGGTAATTATTTCAGTGGAAACAGAAAAGAGGCTTTGAGGAGGAGAACCAGAGACAAATAGTATACATTTTCTAACATACAACAATCCTAATATACAGCAGCTAAAAATACTTTCAGAACAATCTCTAATGCTGCCAAAGCCTGACCACAGGAGTGCTATGGCTAATGCAGGGCTCTGCCTCCACACAAGCTAACCAACACGGATTTCCTCATCCCTCACCCTTGTGCAACACAGTGTCTTCAACTCTTTTTTTTTGCTGATCACTGCAGCTGTGAGGAACATTTTGCTGATACATGTGGATTTTTTTTTTTAATTTTAAACTGAAATGACTCTGCTGTTGGTATAGAAAGCTATGGTATGAAACCAGGACACAGTGACTTGAAACTAGGATCGCTTCACTGTTTCACCAAAAATGTATCTTCTGGTGAGGCCTATCACACTGCAGCCAGGTACCACAAGAGCTGATGAAGGTTAACATGCAATTAGCAATGTACTAACACTGCATTACAGGGTGGCCCTCCTTTAAGGGGAGGGAAAGAGGAACCATCTGCCAAGATCCCCTTTCTCCCACTGAGCAGACTGTTTGACCTGGGATGAACCTGCAAGTGATTTCATGACCAAGGTGAAGTACCAAACTGCTAAAAGCTTACTGTGTTTGCTGTGCTTTTATACAATACCTGCTCATTAGCAAAGATTTCTGGTGCTCTTGCTACTGTCTTCCTCAGCTCTTGATTGCATAAAACAACTCCCACAGTAACACAGCTTTACATTGGCTGTTCACATGTACCAGATGTAAGACTATTTCTGAACACAATGACTGGCCCCATGAGCAATATTCAAGATTGCTCTATACAGGCAAACAGCATCAAAGTCTTCAGGGAGCTAAGCTCCAACAGAGCAAACGCTTATTCATTGCACTGTATATATTCAGGCACCTCACAGTCTGAACACTTACATGGGAAAGGCTTAGAGTTTGTCTGGGACATGTTTTTCTTTTTCTGCTGAGAGAAGAATCACTGCCCTACCATATGTATACTTAACAGACAGGAAGTCCGTGCAACAAAAATAATTCTCACTGTAAAGATTTGTTCAACCAAGTATTTTGTGCTTGCATATACAAACACACAATCTTTAGCACAATAAAAAAGAAACCATACCAATAAACTTTTGATCAAATATAATTGGTTGTAACATCCTTTAAAAAAAAAAAGACAAGGTATGTTTGTCATGTAAAAAATATGAAAGAGAAGTTACTATGACAGTCTTTTCACTTGATAGTGTATCAGTATGCTAGTTAAGTAACATTTTCATATTTTTCGTATTTTTAATTATTTTCATATTTCCAAGATAAAAAACAGAAGTAAGCTCGCAACAGGGACTTTGATCAGTCTTGATTAGGCTGGCAGTGCAAGAGGCTGCTGCAGTGAGAGGAACATCTGGTGAAATTTATACAATAAACCCCAGGTAAAGACAGAAGGAACAATCATAGAGTTTGTTAAAGTAATTCACCTTATGTTTCATGCTGTGGCAGAAAAGTGGAAACCTCTTCAAAGGAGGAAAAACAACGCCAAAAGGCACACGCTACACCCATGTGTACTCTTTAGGTGGCACCTGATCAGATTGTAGTTAATACTGTGCGTTTAAAAACACATAAAACACATAAATCACTACTAAACGTCAGCAGGAAAAGGTGCGCTAGCTCTCTGCACCCACCACCAAAGGCACTAAAGGAACACGTGGCTTGACAAAGCCACCCTCGGGTCGCCATAAGCGGGGCTCCAGGGCTGTGGCCGCGGGCCCGAGGGCTCCTGCAGCAGGGCTGAGCACTTCCCGAGGTGTCACCGCCACTCTCGGAGGCCGCTCCGCTCCCCACAAGCCGTGGTGAGCCTCTTTCTCCTCATAAAATAAGCGAGGTTCACACAGCCCCGGGAAGGAAGTAGCTGCAGGCACCCGCCTCAGACGGGTGCTGTCAGAGTCGGGGCGCCCCTTAAAGACAATACAGAAACACACACGGCATTCATATGGCTACCACCGCACATTTCGGCAGCCCGGATCGCCAAAGCCACCGCCCCAGATGCTCCGCATGGCAGGGCTGCCGCCGCAGCCCCTGCATTGAGGCTGCTCCCTGCTCGCCTCCCCTCAAGGTCAAGAGAGGCGAAGGAAAGGGGAAAGAAGCCCAAACCTCACCGGGGCCGTCCCGCCGGAAACGCTACCGCCAAGCTCCCTTGGGATGCTCCCCGCCCTTTGCCGCCCGAACGAAACGCGATGGCCGCCCCTACTCCACCCCACCCCCCCACGGACGCATCAGAGCCACGGCGTCCTCCGTCACCGCCTCCGCCGCCGCCTCCGCCTCCTCCTCGTCCTTCCCCGGCTGAAATCCGCTACCTCCCGCATGGTCCCCCCGAGGGAGAAGCCGCAAGTCGCCCACCGGCTCCGCGGGGGTTACGCGGGACCCTGCGGCATCCGCTGGTGCGCAGGGAAGTGTTTGCCGGGCCGGAGCTCCCCCCGGCCCCGCGGAGTTCCCGTCGGCCCCTCCGTTACCGGTGGGTGAGGGGAGCCACGATCGCCACCCCCGCCGCAGCCGGAGCTGGGGACCAGGCTCCCCCTTCCCCGCCGGGGCAGGATGGAGAGGAGCCCTAGCGCTGACGGTACGGCACTGCCAGCGGGGCCGGGGTCCTGCCCTCACACCCTGAGGGCCTCGGGGACACGGAGCTCTCGTGGAGCCCCGGCGGCCGCCGCACAAAGTTACACCCACATGAGTCACACCTCCTGAAAGACCCTCGGGCTTGAGACTGAGGGGCCTGAGAGGGTGGAAACCCTAAGATCTGGTGATATTTTGGACTTCTACCCCTAGGTCCTGCACCAGTCATAGGGGATATGGAAGTGAAAATAGAACGGTAGCGTTGGTGTGCTCCAGCCTCCAAGAGGGGCATAGCTACTACACCCAGAATTTGGCTTTGTTAAAATAGTAATGGACTTCCCAGAATCGTGATTAAAAGTGACCCGTGGTCCCTAAATATAATAGTAAGGAATTGGCTATTCAGCAGATTTATCTGGGGTGTAATGAAACCTTTCTTGTCTTCCACCAGCAGACTGATAGTTTTACCCTGTCTAAGCCAGTGAACCCCAGACTGCAGCCCCCTCTTAATGTTCTTTTATTGCCTTTTTACTGCTCCCTGCAAGGCAAAGGGATGGTTCAGTGCCTGGAAAGACAACAGGGTTCAGGAGTCAGGGTAGTCTCACTCTAAATAATTTAATTACTCCTCCCTTCCCTGGTCCACGGTTATTATTTATCATCTGACACAGTTAAGTAAGACATATAGTTTTTCAAGAGGGTGAAAAATCTTAGGGGCAAATAAAAATTAAAAGGCTGTAAAAGAAAAGGCAAAGGCGAACCATGCACTCACTGTCATACCCATAAATGTGCTAGTAAATGCAATAGTGGAGTCCAATTTTATTGCCACAAGGCTTATGTTTCTGATTTCCATTCTGCTTCCTCTCCCAAAGTTTGTGTGTTTTATCAAGTTGTTTTCCTTCGTTGTCACAGAGACAATCAGGCTACCAAGCAACTGCTGCACTCATCTAGATCTTCCGATATTCATTACACTGTGTTTGGATAAAAATGAATTAAGAAAGTTGTTTTTGGTTTGGTTTGGTTTTTTTTTTTTTTTTTTGTTAAAAGTTGGCTTTTTAATTGCACACAAAGTTTTTTTTTTTTTTTTTTTGTTAAAAGTTGGCTTTTTAATTGCACACAAAGAAGATAATACCATTAGACTTTATTTCTAAACTATAAAGCACTACAGCAAAACAAACTCTCGCTTGCAGGAGCCTGATCTTCTCAGCTCTTTAATTATGTTTGTCTCAACTCTTTGGCTTTTGGCAAATACAAACTATTCTAAATCTATTACCCGCTGAAGCTACTGACGGTGTTGCAAAGCAACAAACAAAACCAGTCTGCTGCCTTCTGGGAGCTTAACAGCCCTGATAGGCGACTTCTTTGTTTTTAAGCCACTTATACAGCACTGATAGAAGATAAAAACATAGATGACATCCCCAGAATATAATCAAATCCTTGCAATATGAAACTGATTGTTGTTACAAAGATAACACGTACCAGAAAGCAGACATTAGATGGTAATAATGCTAAGTGATTCTACAAATGTGCTGGTGCCCTGTGTTCTGTAGTGCAGGATTTTCAGGTAGATGGGTGTTTGCAACAGTCTCACACGTTAATCAAAAGGTGGATTGAGTGTGAATGTAAAAGATGCAGCTGATTTCAGTTGTTGGTAGGCTGCATTTTAAGCTCTCCCATGATCGAATCTACTGTAGACAGCATTGACTCCTCAAAAAAAATGGACTCATAAAATGTGAGCTAATTATAAAGTTGCCTTTAGAAACAAGAAATATATGAGAACTGAAAAGGCATAGGAAATAAATTATTAGGCATATGCTGGAAGTATAGAGAATGACATTTTACCTTGGAACTTTGAAATATATTTATTAGAAAAAGTGCCCATTTAGGGGTTTCAGAATAGAAGTTCACCACCTGAAGTATAAGAACTTAAAACACTAGAGGTTGGTATGAGAGATCCAAGTTAGGACAGCATCATAAGGCTAGACAATGCTTCTGAAATGTTTGCATGTGAGCAGAAGCAAATCTCAGAATAATCATGCAGGTAGATATTTTTGTTCATTTTGGTAAGGCTCATATTTTATAAATTACTTTTTCCATTTTACTATGGAAGCAAAATGTAAGTCTGGGCTCCTTTATTTCTTCTCTTGTTACAGATTACATAAATTGTGTGGCTCTTCCCTGATGCTCCATAAATGGCCACTGGTAAGTTGTGTTTATACAGGAGTGTGTATTCTCTAAGTGCTAGCAGACAAAAAACAGCTAAAAAAGGTTTTGTTTCCACTAGGGTTTTATCTGATACTGTTTAATCAATTTAAGATCTTATCTCCTGCTGCAATGAGAACAAAGTCAGACTGAGTTTGGTTAAGCCTCTGAGTTTGCCCTATCTCCTTTTTTGTGTCTGACTAATATTGCCACTAGATACATCTTAAAAATGTAGTTCAACTCAAAAAGCTTGAAGAATAAACTGATTAAATGCCCCTGAACAAACCAAATTGAAATAGCATCAGATTATTGGAAACCAAATCCACACAATATTCATTAAACGGGTTTAGAACATGAAACAAAACCAAGGTAAAAATTGCTATTAAATCTGAATGAATTTGAAACCTTATACATCAGCTTTGTGCTTGTTCACAAGGTCATTCTGCTGTTTAAGCATATCCTCAGAGCATAAGTCCCCCAAGAATGTGTTGCTTATGCACTTAATTAATGGAATGAGAGTGCACTGAGCTCCTTAAGGGTCAGCACTGAAGGGGTGCTGTGTAAATGTAAGCACTACTCATTGCAGCTTGCAGCTTATGATGGAAATATTGCTTCCATCCATGTGTTTGATGGCTTATGCTGGTTCCTTTAGAAATTCTACCATACAGAGGGAGTCCTGGGACCACTTTGATGTTCGTTTGGAAATGTACATTCTGTTGACACAGGAGTTATTCACAGGGGTCATGAAATTATTCAGGACAGTAAATCTGGAAGTTTAGCCAGATCCCAGCAAATGACAATTTTCATAAGCACTTAAAAGCAAACATTACTTTTTGTTAGTTTTTCAACCTTAATCATTTCAAACAACAAACAGTATCAACTGTGTATTTCAGGAAACAGAATCAGTTCAAAAACAAATATAAGTGCACCTGTTTCTTTTCTTTGGTTAAAGCTGAGTGACTTTGTTTACAAAAACAAATTCACTGATCCTTTGCCTTTTGTTTTTACCTTCATCTTTCTATCATACAAATTTCTGCAGGAAGTGGTTTAAGCAGGGTAAGTGTGTGACACAGTACAGATGAGAGTGACTATAAGCACCAAAGTGCTATGCAATTAAAGGAGAAGGTCTAAATTTAGCTTTCTATATTTACCTTCCCCTGTTCCTAGCTCCATGTCTCCTCCTACTCCAGCCTTCAGCATTTAACTGGTGCTGGCACTTACCCAGCCCCCTCTGCAAGGCAGTTCTGCTCACTAAGCTGGCAGAAAACAATACCTTTATGAAGGTTGGTTTTTTACTATCAAAATCACAGAAGTACAAACATGGAATAAGCTAGGAGCAGAGGAGGAGGTAGTAGAAAATATCCCTTTAAGGAACAGAAACTGTGGAGTGTCTCTGTCTTTTCCAACTGCAGTCATTTAATACTCTGAAGACCAACATTAGTCCTTCTTTTATGGAAAACTTAGCTTCTATATACTAAAGGTTTTAAAAACAGATTGTAAAATGAGCTTTGACATCCCATCTCAATTTTATTTGTCCTGTCTGGTTCTGTTGCCTTTCAGGTGCCTTTTTCTTTTCACTGACTTATCTACTCTCACCAAAGTTTATTATTTGCTTGCACATATCTTTGTTGCACATTATTGCAAGCTGGTTTTGTTCAGTGCTGTCCATGCTGCAATGCAGAAGTGGGAATAGATGTCTTCTAAAACATGGACGAGTTTTCAAATGTTAACTTTGTTAGGAGGGCAAAAAACCACCAGCACAGATATGCCCATCTTCAGGTAAACTTCAAAGGTCCCTGGGAGTTTTTTATCACTATTTTGATTAATGCCACAAACATTGTATTTTAATTTTACATTTCTCTTAATCTTCTCTATTAAAAGGGGAATGAGCAGTACATAAAATTTTTCCCAGTCAATTTTGGGAGTTTATTTGGAAAAAATAGTCCCTTGTACATAATACTTGTTTTAAAACAGATGGTTTGTGTTTAATGTTTTAGACAATGAAATCATTCAGCTTTGAGACCCTACCATTTGATTATACAAATTGTTTTATCTATGTTGAATTACTTCATGAGCATCTGGCTATTTACTATTGAGAATGAATGAATCACAGTCTTTGTTTTCCTGGAAAACGACATGGGAGTTAGAATCATTGTTTCACAAGTCTTATAACACTGCAGGGATTTTTTAAGATTATGATCTTTGTCTATGTCTAATTTGAAGGCTGTTAAAAGTAATTATGTATAAAAGCAAACTAAGGAGGGTTTGTAGCTGTAAAAAATATCATCTTAAGGATAAGTTTTTTTTTTCTTGTTTCAGGTCCCAAATTAGCATGTGGGTACTATGATTGAAGAATATGAAGTCCTTAGTTATAATGTTTGTAACCAAGTTCAACAGCATTTAAATAAATTTCTTCTGGATGCGACAGTTTAAAGACATCTGTTGGGTTGGGTTAAGTAACTCTGGCCTTCGAATGCAACTGCTCAGACTTTCTTCAAAACAGCAAAGTTCCTCTCTGTTGTAGATTACCCTGTATTATTGTCAGTCCTTTGTTGATATATTTGTGGTACCTGTCTCTCTCTCTGTTTAAAAGCAGGAGTATTCTGAGATTCTGATCCTACTCAGCAGTAGTTGCATTGACACTCTGTTTGCAAGCAGCTGGTTACTAGAGGCTGAAGCCAATGTCATCATTTTGTTTGTGTTGTCATGCTGAGTCCAAACTTTGCCATTTAAATACAACCAGATGTTCCTTAGCAGAGCCATTTTGAATGCAGAATATTACAGTACAAGCCCATCAGTGCTGATCCCACTCTTCCACCTTTGCTTGTAGTGCACTCCTGTTACTTTTCTCTTAATTACTGAATTACCCTGAAACGTTTGTACAATACAAATAAATTTGGACCTTTAATAAAAGTTCTTTGCTATTTTATTTAGAGACCTTATAATAACTCAATACTTTACAGTGTAGGAACAGTTATTGGACAAACAGAAGTAAGGACAGCCTTTATTCCCTAAACTTTCAGATTTTTGGGGGATTCTGTAGTTGTATTTGATCCAAAAGTAGTTTTCCAAAAAATAATCTCAAAGACCTTTCTCTTCTGCACAGTGTGTGCTAACCAAACATGCCAATGCATGTTGATTTCATACATTTTGCCTCTAAGAGGAACAGTCTAGTGTGTACATGTGCTAAGAGTGACAAATAATTTCTAATTAGCAAGCTTTGTAAAAGAAAGAAAACCATGTTGTTTCACAAAATAAGATCAGAACACCTTTGAAGTTTTCACTCAAGTTCTTGCCCAAAGAACTCCATGTTCCATGAGCAAGATTTTCAGAATGTCTCACTATTTAAAAGTACACCTTAAGAACTGAGAGGTATAATATCTTAGTGCTAAAAGAACCTTTAAGAGTAGGGATTTATTGCCAGTCCATTTGCCTTTGCAGTAAATAGGATAGCTCTATTAATGGGTTTATTAATCTTTTGTCTGCCAGCATAGTTTTTCCAATTTCAAATCCATTCTTTGCTATTATTAGAAGGCATCCAGCCCTAAAATTAAAATTCTGGTTGACTTTGCTAACTTTTCAGAAATGATTTCTCAGCAGGCTATTTGTGAGTGTTTTGCACTTTGCTCCTTTGTTCCCCACTTGGCTCTTGATTACTTGGTGTGTACAGTGTCCCACAGAGCAAATCATAGTGGACTAATTAAGAGCTACCAAGAGTTTCTCAAGTTATGCAAGATCCCCAGAACTATGAAAAGCCTTTTCAGATTCCCAGTCACATACTGTGAAGTGCCATAAATCAAACTTTTGAAAACACTGAAAGCTGTGCTTCAGATACTTAGAGGTATACTTTACTTCCAGAAGAAAGGGCTTTTGTTAAAGTTTACTGCTAGATTTTTTAGTACTTTTTTTTTCTCAGCTGAAATCCCAAATCCCACAGGCTATAACATTCTGAATACCAGAAACGTTGATTTAATGACACATGATCACTTATTGGTGACATTGGTGAAATTTTAGTCTTTACTTTTACATGAGTCTGGAAGACTAAGTGAAGTGAGAGCAAACACTGGGCTTTACTGTTAGAGCTTTGGCAGGAGGATAAAGGAAACTAAACCTCATGTGTCACATTACACTCTGGAGGTCAGGGAGTTATTTTTACCTCAGTGTCACTACTGTGGCAAAATGTGGAACACCTCAGCTTAAGTGGAAACTATAGGAGATGGCCAAGTTATTTGTTGTGTCATCAGTGTCATCTCCTGAAACAAACCTTATGGCTGGAGTCCTGCAAATGTCCTCACCCCGCACATTGGTCACTTGGCCATGTAGGGTGCTCAGTGTCACACTCCATAAACAACTCTGTATTTGTCCTTACTACAAAGGACAAATTTTATTGCTGAAGTGTTGTATCATTGGGGAAATTGTTATTTTGTATTATTCTATGCTAGAATGACATACATTGTAGATAACCATGAGGCTGTGTCATTAAAACAAAACCCAAAGGTTCGGATTAGGTGGTTGTACTGAAACAATTGGGAGGCAGCTACACTGCATGCTGTTGGAGTTAAAACCAATGTATAGCATACAGTAAAATTACAGCTGTGAAATCCTGATAATTGCCTTTTATTTTGTTCCTTAAAAAGGCTTCCTTTGTCCAAGAAAAACACCTGTGATTAAATAGCCAGCTGCAAAAACAAACAAGAATAATCCTGTCTACATGCCCAAGCATATTTGAAGTCTCAAATGCTGAGTGCACTTTCCTTCTGCAGCTGTGTCTGTGCACAGTGACTGGGACAGTTCTTGGCACTGTTACAAGCAGGAGAGGCCAGGCCACAGGCTGGGTCCTCCTTCTGCTGCTACTGAAGATGGACATAAAGAACACTGAACAAGAAATGACAGCTTTCATTGATGGGATCTAATTTGGGTGAAGAAGCTGACAGTTACCATAAGATTTAAACCAAAATATTCTCAGACCACCTAAGAATGCAGTGGACTTGGCAGCGTTAGGTTTATACTTAGACTCAGTGATCTTAAAGGTCTTTTCAATCTAAATGCTTCTCTGATTTTAAGAATTCATTAAATTGCTATATTGATATGCTAGTAAATGGAATACAGGAAAACATTCTTACTAAACACATCAAAATGCAATAGCTGAGGAGTTAAAATGCTATTATATATCCTACAGAAACTTAAATGTAACTTGAGTTTTGAAAGACATAATATAAACCAGCATCCAAATCTCTCCTCTCTTGTTCATGTCATGAATTCTCTAGGTAAGGGAGAGTTTTCTGTAAACAAATAAATCTGCAGGTTTGAATACCAGTACATGATCGATTGCAGTGGAGAGAAAAGGTTTTAGCCAGAGTTGCCAGACTGCATTTGAACCAGCTCTGCAGGAGTCAGAGCAGAAGGGAGGAGAGCAGAGCAATGCCTTGTTTTGCAGAAAGCCTCCCTGAGCTGAAATATTTCTTTGGCTGTAAATCTTTTAGTCTCATACAGTGTTTAATAAAACCTGTCCAAGACATGCAGTCTATCAGAAAAACAACTAAATTTCCCTATGAGCTCATACCCGTTCAGCACAAGTAACAACCTATTTTCTATTTTTTTTTCTGTTACTTTGTTTGCATTTTGATATTGTGTGTCATAACGGGTTCTTTTTTAATGTTTCTGTAAGGAGTTCTCTTTTAATGTTCCTGTGGTTTCATGTGAAAAGAGGGAAGAAAATACATGAGTGTGAAGTAGCTCTCTCAGCAAACATTTAATGGACAGGACAGAAATCTTGCTGGATAATGATTGCATTTTAATAAAAATGGAAACATTTTCATTTTATTTGAGAGAAGATGACCAACCATGATCTGCTGCAAAGCAAAAAATGTAGAAGAGCCTTCTTTTCTTTTAAGAATTCATAACAACACTGTAAAGGGTGGAAATAATCTCCAGGGCTCTTCAATTGAAGTTATCTTTATTCCATTGTCCCAACAGCTGACCTGATAACAGACCCATGCATTCACAGGTGGGTGTTAGTGGAGTGAATAGTGATTGAGTTACAGGCAGTTATAAATATCCATGTTATTTACCTCCAAGCAAAAACAAGTTAATTTTTCCCTTAAATCACTTCAAAAGTTTATAGCTTGCATAAGTAAACTGAACAGGCTGAGGGGAAAGGTTTAGTAAATCTCTGCTGTTTGCATTAATTTTGTTAACTAAAGAACTCTTGATCAGGTAAGAGAAAGTTCCATGAATATTGCTAATTTCTCTGGGTATGGGGAAGGAGCCTGTCTTCATGAAGGCCTTTAAATCCTTTTTAAGCCCCTGCTTGAAAGCCAGTCCAGATTGACAAACCACAAGAACAAACCCTTCCCTGGTTTTCCTCACTGCATATTCAGTGCCTCTGCTCCAGACTCTTTTGTGTGCCCTTCATCTCCTGTTTGCTAGACCAAACACACACAATTTTATCAGCTTGTCCCTAACAATAGGTGTTGAGATACTTTGGCATGTTGCCACATTTTAAGGGCTAAGTTCTTATTCTAAATTACTGCCATCTAATTCATCCTGGTTGAAGGAGTCCAGAAGTTCTTTAACTGATTCATGTCTTCTCTGAAAGAAGAAAGGTCATTCTTAAAGCCCAGGGGAAATGGCAGTTTGAGGCTACAGATTTCTATAACATTACGTGGCATGTATTCTTGGCAAAGAGAAATAAAGGCAGGAAATAAAATGCTGATCACGAATTGTATCAGCACAAGAGCTGGAAATACTCTCTAAGCTTCTGATCTACCTTTTTGCTGGGGTTAAGCAAAATGCTTGCAATTAATATGTTCTTGCAGCTGTGCTGAATTTAATGTTGCCCAATGAAATCACTAAATATGTTCTTCTCAGACCTTGTCAGGTAGTTTAATTTATGGTGGATTTACCTTCAAAATCCAGGAGTTTTGTTTAACTCAGCTGACATACCATCTGTCAAGTCAACCATGTGCTCAGTTAAGGGAATGCAGTTGCAGGCAGGCAATGAAGGAATTGCTTCTCTAGAAAAGGAACAAAATCAAACTGTGCTAGGGCCTTTTGAGCACCAGGAAAGTATTTTGCAAAGCGGGGGAGGGCCAGGCAAGGCTGTGTGCAGGAAAAGAATGAAAGGGAATATAGTCCAAGGCAAGATTTCCTGAGGCATAAAAGACCCCAGCGATCCTGGAGACAATATGTATTACTGGAGGAGAGCATAGTTAATAGCTCTATAGCTCTGAAATCAGTAAATAGCAATAAAGAAATCTAAATTTCCTATGCCTGTCTTGATGATCTTTGGGTCCTTCCCTAACATACCAGGCCCACACGTATTTATTTATGCACTTAACCTTCCATAAAAATCTTCACATTTGGTGCTCAAGTGACTAAGCCTGGGCAAGCATGAGAATTTTACAAGGTTATGTAGAACTCGGACTTGAAACAATAAAATAAGAACCCTTGAGTTTTAGCATGTTTTCATTAGTGCTTTAGGTTTTGTGCATTTTAGACTACTCATGTGGTGTAAAATTCTTATGTATATGTTAGCAGTCCATTAATTAATTTTTTACAATTTTGTAGATTAGTATTTTATGAATATGCACTTGTTATCTTCCTCTGATGTTCTCTGGAACTGTTTTTAACAGGCACTGGTAAGAACATTTGAGTAGTATTTATAGCTTTGTTTGCCTTGCTCTCTACTGGAAGGACTAATCTCTTAAACATTTCATTCCAGCACCTCTGATTAATTTTCCACAAATCAACTTCAAACAAATTCTATTGCAGACATTCTTACACTGCAGAAACTATCTCATCTCAGATAAAAGTATGGTATAGTTAGGACAAAGGGCAAGGGACACTCATCTTTTTGCAAATCAGCAAAAGATAGCTACCAAAAGATTGCAACCAGTTGCAATCAAGAATAAAATTGCATTTCAATACATC